TTTGTAAAGGATCTGTTGTTGTTTTTTTTTCCAATTTTCTTATTTTTAAAAATTAATTTTTAATAAAAAAATAATTTTAATTACAACCCCCATCCCCGTGAAGTGAACCCCATCGTAGCCTCCACTAGCAGTGATCCCCCTAACCTTATCCCCCACCCTCACCCATGGCCTCCACTAGCCATGAAAACCCCACCCTTGCCAAACACCATGGATTGTCGCCCCACACGAACCAACCCCAACTTACACCTCACAAATTGGCCTAAGAATTGCCATTACCGTCACTAGAACTAGGTTGTGTGGTTGCTGGAAAGGAATGAGCTGGGAAAGGGAGGGTGGACGCGACTGACAAGAGAGGGGAAATGGGTGGGGTTGTCGAAAATGGAAGGAAAATTATGAGGGTGGCCGGAAAAGGGAGGGGAAGGGGATAGGGGCTGCTAGATCGGAGGTCAATTTGCAAGGGGAAGGAGGTATGAAGGTCGGAAAGGAGAGAGGAAAATGGAAAAATTGCCCGGAATAATCCCACCTTTGAGTCATCCGCCCAAAATAATCCCACCTTTTGATTATTTTTAAATAATCCGACCTTTATAGTCAATCCGCTCGAAATAGTCCCAACCGGTCATGTAACTTGTTATAACAGGTTACCTAACACGTAGCGGCCTGTGATTGGTCTAAAAAAATTAATATAAAATAAAAATTTAAACAAAAAGTTAATTTTTTTTGTAAAGAAAAAATAAAAAATAAAAAAACAATTAATTATGTTAAAGCCACCCCACCAGCTGCCAAGCCACCCCACCCACCTGAATCCCTGCCCCGACCACCCTAAGTCGGTGCTGATGCTGACTCCAATCCGGCGCCGATTCCGACGACGCGCCATGCCACCAGCAACCTAAATCCCTGCCCCAACCACCCAGCCTCACTCTCTTCCCCTAGAAGGCTAGAACCACCAGATTCACCACCAGTTCCTACCCCAACTAGCCACAACAACCACCAACCCCTGCCAGCAAGCCCGAATCCCAACTCCAACTAGCGCACAAACGAACCCTTACCCCTACCAATGAGATCCCACGCCCAGCCCCCAACCCTTACCCCGCGAAACCCTAACCGGCGACTGTATTATAGCTCTTAACCCTCGAAAATCCCTTTCCCGGTCTGATCCTATCCCCCTCCCCGTCCACCGTCCCTTTTCCAATCGCTCCGACCTCCCCAGCCCCAACCCCAATCCCGATCCCAGATTTTTCGATTTGCCTTGGGTTTTGGTGGTTTTTCGATTTTTCGAAAGGGGTTTTGGGGTGGGTTGGCTGGGGTGGGATGGGATTCCAGTAAGCACATCAGTGGAGGTGGTTTCAAGTCGGTGTGTCAGTGGCGGTGGTTTCGGGTCGGCGCATCAGTGGCGGTGGTTCTGGGCTGTTGGTTTCGGGTAGTGGTGGGGATGGTGGTGCTGATTTGTGATGGTTTTTTTATTTTTTATTTTTATTTTTTATTTTTTTATTTAATTTTACTTTTTTAAAATTGTTTTTGTTAATTTTGGACAAATCAAGTAGTGACACGTGTAAATTAAACTTAATTTTAAAAAAAAATTACCTCTTCAACCGGTTGCTGGTCACCCGAGACCATTTTAAGTAGATTGGGTATAAAGGTCGGATTATTAAAAAAAAAAATCCAAAGGTGGGATTATTTTCAGCGGACGGGCAAAAGGTCGGATTATTCCGGGCAATTTTTCCAGAGGAAAATGGTGGAGTTATCGTTGGTCTTCGGAAAAGGGTGGGGCTAATTAAAAGGGGAATGGGACGAGGTGGCTGCTAGAAATTTTAGGAGATGCTGGATAAGTTAAAGCAAGAGGGTGGTTTCTTTTTTTTTTAATTAAAAATCAATTATCTTAAAAAAGAAAAATCATATAACTAATATATAAAGCTAAACTTTTAGTCAGGTCACGAGACAGCGACACTTGGCATTCCAACTTTTCGTCAAGTGTCGCGCCACGTTGGATATACTAAGATAGACTTCATAAGATAAATTAATTAGTTTCAATCAAATTTGGATAGAATTTTAGAATAAAATTATTAGTTGAGACTTTTATTTTCAATAAAATAGCAATTTTTCATAGGTATAAATTGAATTATAATTTTATTTAAAAAAATAAAAAAAAATAGATTATAACTCTAAAATATTTCATATGTATTAATCGAATTATAATTTTATTCAAAAAAATATTAGATTATAACTCAAAAAAATACCAATCGTTTTTTTTTTAAGAGAGCCCATAAGGGCAGGGGTGATAATCTAGGGGTGGCAAAAACTGACCCGACCCGAAAACCCGACCCGAACCCGACCTGAAAATAGCGGGTTTGGGTTGAGATTTTTGACCCGAAAACTTAAATGGGTTGACACGAACCTGACCAGAAATTAAATGGGTTAGGTTAAGGTTGAAAATTTCAACCCGAAAATTTTAAAAAAAAAGAAAAAAAAAGAAGACTACTACCAACCCAAGCCCAAATCTTTAAGCATAAATCCTAACTCATTTTCACTCTCACAAGCCGTCACCTACATTTTCTCTTTCCTTCTTCTCCTTATCTCTCTTCACTCATTCTCCTCCTTCTATATCCCTCTTCATCCATTCTCTTCTCCTTATCTCTTCTCATTCGTTCTCTTCTCCTTCTCTATCTTCCTCTAGAATGCTTCAATTCATCCTGAAAATCCGAATTTGAACTTCTCTTCTCTGATTTTTTGTGAATTTTGTTCTTTATATTCGAATAATCCTTAAAAGCTCCTATTTCTCTCTCTTCACGCGAGCAAGTCAACAATGTCACGTGAGTAAGCTAGCCACCGTCACTGTCACAGCAAGCCCGACCGACCACCATCGTTGTCACCGTCTATTGTTGGGGTTTTTTATACTTTAGATCTAGTTTAAATTTAGGTTAGATTGTAGATCTAGTTTTATTTTTCTCAAATTTCTGATTATAATTTTTTTTTGATGAAATTATGATGTAAGTATATACATTTTGTTCCTGATAATCGCCTATTCTTCATCGATCTAGTTATTCTGATTTTTTACATATTTTTTTCTGGTTTTTTTTGTTTTTTTTGCGATTTGTTTGTATTGTTTTCTGGGTTTTTTGTTTGAATATTTTTCTGGGTTTTATGATTGATAGATCCAGAAGAATTCAAGGAATGTTGTGTATAATATGTTAAAAAAATTCGAACAGAAAAAAAACAAGTCGAATCAGGTCATTTTCGGGTTCACCCGAACCTGAAAATATCAGGTTGGGTTGGGATTTTCAACCCGAAAACTTAAATGGATCAGGTTCGGGTTGGGGGTCACCTGACCCGAAACTAGGTGACCCGAACACGAACCCGACCCGACCTGATCCGTTTGCCACCCCTATGATAATCGATCCCAAGACCTCCTAGAATCGGGAGGGAAGCTCTAACCACTTGAGCTATCCCTCAGTCCCTCACTCTTAAAAAATATCAAAATTATTATTAGTCATTTACATGCCTACTACATAGTTTAAATCGTTACAAAAACACATCAATTTCTAACTAATTTTGTATTAAAGATATATTCTAAAATTTGACATATAGATTAAAAATTTATTTAAAATTTAAAAAACAATCCGGGCATCGCACGGGGCACAAAACTAGGGGAGTTTTTTCCCGAGTTTTTAGAGAGCCATGTAGGATTTAATTTTTTTTAGCGCGCCACGTAGGATAATAAATTTTAGTGGTAGCCAATTAAATACGAGATTATTAATATATTTTAGAATTAAATAATTTAAATGACACGAAAGCAAAATTGGCGAATGAGATTTTGCAGTTTCAATTAATTAAATATAAAATATTATTTTTTGATGTCAGGAGTTTTATCTAAATATATAACAAAATTTAGCACATAAATATATAAATATAAAAAAATTATTAAAAAAGGGAAAATTCAAACAAACCGTGCATAGCACGCGCTTCATCTAGTGAAAAAATAAAAATAAAAATTCATAACTTATCACAATGCGACACGTGTCCGGTTAACCTTTACAACAAGTTACCGGTTATTTATTCTATTTATGGAAGGTGTATGTTAAAGATCATTTTATTCCGGGATAATCAAGATGTCGTTTTATTTTTGAAAGACCGGACAAAGGTCATAATATTCCTGACTAATTTTCCTTATTTTTCGAACACAGATTTTTAATGTAAATAGTATTCGTAGAAAATATTATATTATAATATGAATTATATGGGAAGGATAATAAAATATTCTTAAAAGTTTTTAACAAAATACTTAGGGATAATAAAATACGGCTACAAAAGAAAATCGGAACAAGTAATAAATACTTTTTATGTAGCCGTGTTATTTTACTATTCACGTAATCATTTTGACTTAATTATTTTACTACAGAGCCATATATATTAAACAATTGTTATTGTATAATTAAATAAATTAATAGTTAAAGTCGTGTCTAGTTAAAATGTAACATTTTATAAACACACTAAGTGAGTAAACACCATGAGTTTGTGATAAGTTTTTTTTAATTTTTTTTTTTTGGTATTTAGAGAGCTATAAAGGCACGGTGAGAATCGATCCCATAATTTCTTGAAAACAGAAGAATAGCTCTAATTGCTTAAGGGGTCATTTGGTTGGATCATTTGGAATGGGTTGGAATAGAATTAGAATCCGTTCTATCTAATTTTTTGTTTGGTTAAGGTTTTTAGTAATGGAATCTCATATTGAGGAGGTTTTAACTCCCCCTTGTACCCATGGAATCCCATTCCACCCCTCTCCCTAATATTCACAATCCACAACTTTGGACTAATATGAGTCTTAGAATCCAAACCTCTCTACTATGAGATTCTATACCAATTTATTCCAACTTAAGTCTGTTCTTTTCAATTTAATTTCAGTTCAATTTAGTTCCGCTCCAATCAGTTCAATTCCTTATTTCTTTCTTAATTCAATTCTTCCAATAGATCAGAATAGACCCTTAGTAACCTAAACACCTCCTAAGTTATCCCTAACTATGTATCAGTGAGTATACACGCAAACTTTTTGATTTATCGTTGATGTCGTCGGTTTGAGACTTTGAGGTGCACAAAACTCTGTAAATCACCATTTCTTCAACCCCCAGAATTGCAGCACCAAAAGAACCCAGATTTTTTTCATGAAAACTGATTTTTATGGCGTCTATAGCTGATCAGGAGCAATCAAACCCTGCTTCTGAAGCTGTATCTATGCCTAAATTTGGGGGAAAACAGAGGAGTAAGAACAAATGGAGGCGGCTTTCAAAGCATTTATCCACTACCTCTGATTCCCCAATCAACACTTTGGATGATGGTTGCCTCATGCACATTTTCAGCTTTCTCTCTCCTCTTCCTGGTTTGTTACTTTACCCTAATTTTATTTTCCCCAATTTGCAGTTTTCAATTTAATTTCGAAACCCTAAATTGATGTTCAATTTGGTGGTTGTTTGCCCTCTTAATGTGATTTTGGATCATTTTATTCTGATTAGAGGTAGACCCATATCGTATTTTGTGGAATTTGATTGTTTAATTGAGCTTAATTGTGAAATTGAGGTTATAGAAGGTTGGAAGTTTTGATTTTTGTAATTGGGTTTTACTGGATTCTTTTGCTGGTTTAGGGTTTGTCAAATTGTTGTGAAATGAATAATTTCTTGCATTAGAAATAGATGAATTGTTTACACTACGAATTGAAAGGTGGCGTCTTGAGACTTTTAAAAATAGTATGACAAACAAAATGCTTGCCTTTGAGGGGGTTATTGCTGCCTTTAAACATTGATTGAGCTGAAATTTGAATGTGATGGGACATACATCTATCAGTTTTTGTTTAGCTGAATGGATTTCGAGGCAGTGACTTCTGTTATTGTACTGGTCTGCTTCAAGAGTTTCCTCCATGAATTCTTGTCGTTGATGTAGTCTATTGAAGAAAAAATACTATAGAAATGATGGGGCCAATAGGTTCTGGAAGCCGTGCCTAATATGTTTGCTCGCTTTTACATTCAAATTTGGGACTTAGGGGTTGCTTTGGCTATGGTCGTGGAAGAAGTGCTTGATAATTGCTTGTCTTTCCTTTTCCCTTTAATTTGCTAAACATTTTTTATTAGGTTGTATAAGACTTTATAATTCATATAGTTGATTGTCCTTATTGGTAGTGCTATAGTTCAGGTGGATGAGGTTTTGTGTTGATGGTGTATGGACTTATTGTCTTATTAGTTTGCTTCAGCGTATTATTGTGGTGTATCAGCTTTTGTCACTTATTACTTTTGAGTTTGCAGATCGTTATAACACCGCCCTCGTTTGCCACAGATGGCGATTCTTGGCATGTCACCCACGCCTATGGTTGAGAGTTGACCGAACTATTAAGGATTATTCAGAACCTGGTGTATTCTCTTGTATTGATGCTGCAGTATCCGCTGCAAAGTGAGTACAAATTAAATTAGCTGAGTGGCTGTCATATGTTCTTAATACAAATCAATTAATCCCACAGGCTTCTTTTCTTTTAGGCCTGGTGATACCATCTTGATTGCTGCTGGAGGGGTCCATTTTACCTCTAACATTCAGATCAAGAAGCCTCTCTGCCTGGTAATATTAATAATCTCTCCAAATAATATTCTTCATTTCATATTTACTGTTGTTTTACTTATTAAGAGAAACCATTGAACTCTTGTAAGAGTTGTAACAGTTTTTCCACACCCCCAGAGGCCAGAGCCTCTGCCCTTTCCAAATGTTTTGATCATTCTTATTTGTGCTCTGTGTGCAACTTGGTATGACTGTGTGAGTCTCCCTCTGTACAGCCATATGCATATGCATAGGGAGTTCGGTGTCGGTGTCAGTGTAGATGTATAATTTAGTTTGCTTCAATCCTTCACCTTTTATCTCTTCCTTTTAGTACAGGTTGGACGATGGTATACTTGTCCACGTGCACATTTGCTTTCTTTTATGTTACCACTGATTATTTATCTGTTTTTGTCTTTTTGATATTGGCCTATGTAAAAGCGATTAGTTTGAATATAATATTGAAAAAGGATATCTAATAAGGTACACTTTGCTTAATAGCCTCAAGTATCGTCTTACTTCCTCCGTTCTATTAATATTGCAACAACGGACTTTTTGCACTATTCATCACTCTTGTTTGACCATATAATACGATTTATATGTTAAGCAAAACATAGTTGTAACGCTCTACTTATACTTTGCTGTATTAATGGAACTTGAAAGCAATAAAGATAATATTTTTAGGGAAGAAGGCAGCTATTTCATTGAATAAAGATTGAATCTTGCAAACAAGGTGGCTTGAGGCCACGACTCTCTACTAGCACCTTTAGGGCACAATGCTCTACACTCTAAGTTTACCAATCACCAGCTACCTAGCACACTCCCACTCCCCTTTTACTTATATGTACACAATCAGCCAAAAAAGAAAGAGGACAAAAAGTTGCAGCTGTCATTCTTAGAGAGGCTCTGCCAGCAATCCTTAACTTGATTGATTTGGTGGCTCCTCTGCTGGGCCTTGCAGCTGCTGCCCTTTCTTCCTTCTGCGCTCATAGGTGATCCAATCCTTGTTGTGCTTGCTACCCACGGCATTCGTTGCATCTTCCCCCCCTACAAGAGTCACCTTGTCCTCAAGGTGAAAGGATGGAAATCTCTCTTGTATGATGGCAGCCACTTCCCAAGTTGCCTCAATGAAGGGCAGTCCTTGCCACTTAATTAAGACCTCCAAGATGTCTGGGTTGGTCTTAGCAGCCCTTATATCCAGCACACTCTCAGGTTCTGAGTTCCAGCTCTTCAGTCAGTTGGGTGGGTATGGTGGGGTTTGCTGTTTGGTCTCCTACTGCGCGCTTAAGCTGAGAGACATGGAACACGGGGTGGATCTTGCAAGTTGCTGGCAGCTCCAGCTTGTAAGCCACTTGACCAATGCGTTGGAGCACCTTGAAGGGACCATAGAAACGAGGAGCTAGCTTCTCATTTGGCCTCCTTGCTAATGATTTTTGTGGGTAAGGTTGCAATTTCAGGTAGACAAAGTCCCCTACCTGAAATTCCTCCTCCCTCCTTCGCAAATCTGCATTGTGCTTCATTCTTTGTTGTGCCCGAACCAAATTCATGTGCAAGTCATCCAAAACCCAATCTCTCTCCTGCAGCCACTCCTCCAGCCAGGCGTTTGTCCCTTCCCCACCTTGATTAGTCTAGGCGGATCCCTCCCATACACTACTCGAAAGGGTGTAAACCCAGTAGAAGCATGATAGGCTGTGTTGTAGGCATATTCCGCCCAATGCAGCCACTTACTCCACGACTTAGGCTTACCATTGATGAAGCAACGTAGGTATGTTTCCAAGGTTTTGTTGACAACCTCGGTTTGGCCGTCGGTTTGAGGGTGATATGCGGTACTCCTCTTGAGGTCCGTTCCTTGCAACCTAAACAACTCTTTCCAGAACACACTCATGAAGATTCGATCCCTATCCGACACAATTGAGGTAGGCATCCCATGTAGCCTAACAACTTCCTTAGCGAACGTCTCTGCGATGGTTAAGGCACTATATGGATGCTTCAACCCCATGAAGTGCGCATACTTGGACAACCTATCAACTACCACTAACACCGAGTCTATCCCCTTAGAATTGGGCAGCCCTTCTACAAAGTCCATTGATATATCCTCCCAAATATTCTCGGGAATAGGTAAGGGTTGTAACAATCCCGCCGGTTGCAATTGGGAGTGTTTGGCTTGTTGGCAAGTACCACATTGCTTGACATACATTCCCACATCTTTACGCATCCCAAATCAATACCATTTGGCAGCCAATCTTAGGTAAGTCTTTGTTTCACCTTGGTGTCCCCCCACCGGACTATCGTGGTATTCGATCAAAAGCTTAGAAATTAATGGTGACTCTCTCGGAATTACCACTCTTCCCCTAAAGAGTAGCTTATCTTCTTCGAGTGTGAACCCATCACGAGCCCCCTGCCCTGCCAAGTCTCCCATGATTTTGCCGAGGTCTTTATCAGCTCTCACCTCCCTCTCTAGCCCTTCCCAATCAATCCTTGAAATTGAAACCAAGGCTGCCAGCTCTCCAACACTCCCACCTTTGCGGGACAGAGCATCCGCCACTCTATTACTCGCACCCGGCTTGAATTGGATCTCGAAATCGAAACCCAACAATTTCCGGACCCATTTTTGGTACTCCCCATTCACTTCCCTTTGCTCCATCACATACTTTAAACTCTGTTGGTCCGTTCTCACCACAAAGTGGCGCCCAAGTAAATAATGTTGCCACTTAACCACGGCCAAGCAAATCGCCATCAACTCCTTCTCATATATAGCCTTTGCTTGCGACCTCGGGCCTAGTAACTTGCTAAAGAAAGCTATTGGCCTCGGTTCTTGCATTAAGACAGCCCCCAACCCATAACCCGATGCATCTGCTTCAATTACAAATTTCTTGCTGAAATTTGGCATCACCAAACAGGGGCTGAAGTTATTGCTCCCTTCAGCCGTTCAAAGGCGGCCGTAGCCTCCGATGACCACCCAAAATTGTCTTTACGCAGCTGCTCCGTTAGTGGTCTTGCAATTTGAGCGTATCCCTTAATAAACTTCCGGTAATAGCCGGTCAATCCAAGAAACCCACGCAACTCCTTCAAATTTTGTGGAATTGGCCAATCCACCATAGCCTTCACCTTCTCCGAGTCCACTGCCACCCCTTCTTGCGACACCACATGCCCCAAATACGCCACCCTAGACTGACCAAACTCGCATTTCTTGAAATTAGCCACCAAGCAATGTTCTTGTAATTTGGACAGCACTACTCTCATGTGTTCCAAGTGACTCTCTCTATCCGGGCTATAGATGAGTATGTCATCGAAGAACACTAGCACAAACTTTCTCAAGAACGGTCGGAACACCTCGTTCATGAGGGCTTGGAAGGTGGCCGGTGCGTTCGTGAGGCCAAAGGGCATGACCAAAAATTCATAATGGCCTTCGTGGGTACGAAAGGCTGTTTTGTGCGTGTCCTCTTCTCGTACCAAAATCTGATGATAACCCGACTTAAGGTCGAGTTTAGAGAATATTGCTGCCCCGTGGAGTTCGTCGAGTAATTCGTCGATGATTGGGATAGGATATTTATCAGGAATTGTTTCCCGATTCAAGGCCCGATAGTCCACGCAGAACCTCCAAGACCCGTCCTTCTTCTTGACCAACAAAACCGGGCTAGAAAATGGGCTGACCGACGGCTTGATGATACCCGCTTCAAGCATCTCCTTAATCAATCTCTCAATTTCATCTTTCTTGGAACAGGGGGTATCGGTATGGCCTTACGCTTACCGGATTGCTCCCCTCCCTCAACACAATAGCATGTTCGTGCTCCCGCTTCGGTGGTAGTCCCTTTGGTGGTGAAAAAACCCCTTGAAACTGCTCTGGAATGCTCCCTAACCACCCTGGCACGGCGGTTTCTACTTCTGCCTTTTTTCCCACCGCCTCCACGCGGTTAATTTCCAGCCATAACCCTCCACCTTCGTGGCGCAATGTGCGGAGCATTGCCTTGAGAGTGATCTTGGTGCGCTCCAAAGCAGGATTGCCCCTCAATGTGACCTTCACGTCACCCACTCGAAAGCTCATGAGGTGTGTCTTCCAATTGTGAACCACGGGTCCTAGTTTCTCCAGCCACTCGATCCCTAGGATCAAGTCGGCGTTGCCGAGTCGGAGTGGGAGGAAGTTATCCACTATCACAAACCCCTCCTTAAGAACGACCCTCACCCCTTTACACCTGCCCCTTCCCACAATGATGTCGCCGTTTCCCAGAGAAACGCTGAACTCACGGTCGCCCTCCACCGGCACCCCTGCTTCTACCACCAAGTCATCGGAGATAAAATTATGGGTTGCCCCCGGGTCGACCAATATTACCACCGGGGTTGGTCCCACCCTTCCTTCGAGTTTCATGGTCCGCGGCGTAGAAAGCCCCACCACGGAGCAAAGAGACGCCCCTGGTGCTATCTCGAAGGTCCAGCGCCTTCATCGCCTCCACCGCCGAGCAACAAGACACTCATCTCTCTATTCTTACACCTATGGCCGACACTCCAACGCTCATCACAGCAAAAGCACAGCCCTTTCACCTTTCTTTCTTGGTGCTCAGCGTCAATCAGCCACCGCGGCTCGTTAGATCTGGCTGAGACAGTGCTGGTGGTCTTCGGAAAGTTTACCGAGGCTTGGGATTCAGATGGGGCTCTGGGCCACCCTTTGAATGAAGAGGCCTGCTGTGTTGGAGTTTCGTATGCACTAATGAGGCCCGATCCAGTTGCGGATTTAGATCCAGGCACCCCAGATCCACTTGCAATTGGTTTACCCGGCCCGAAATAGTTGGGTGCCTTCTTATGCCCGCCTACCCGATTCCTCTCTTCAACCCTACCCGCAATTTCCATGGCCTGTTCTAGGTTGAAGGGATTCATTAGTCTAACATCAGCCTTAATTTCATCCTTCAGCCCATTTATAAAATGGCCCAACATAATAGTCTCGGGTATATCTTCCAACGGCGCTGAGAGTTCAATAAATCGCTTACGATACTCTAACACGGTGGTTTCTTGGCTTGCAGCCAACCACTGCTCATGGAGACTTCCGGCATGAGTCGGTCGGAATTGTCGCAAGACCCTCGCTTTCAAGCTATCCCAGTTCGGAATAGGTCGCCTTCGGTTTTCCCATTGAAACCACCTCAGAGCATCACCCTCTAAAGCGGAGACGGCGGCTTGCAACTTCTGTTCCTCCGTGAGGTTGTAGTGTTGGAAGTACTTCTCCCCCTTAAGTATCCATCCGTCGGGGTCTACACCTTCAAAGAGCGGCATGTCTAGCTTTCTTGGCTTCCACCGGTTGTCGCCGCCGTCGTGCGTCTCATTCCAGTTGCGCATCATGAAGTTGCCACCCTGCCTTTGTTCATGATTTCTTTGATTCACCAAGGTTCGCAGCTCCTCGAAGAACTGAGCTTGAGTGGTGGTATTCACCGTCATCTGAGCTTTTTGCTGTTGCCGGAACAACTCGAATCGATTATCGAGTCGCTGAACAGCCTCCTCCATCGACTTCTTGAGAACCTCCTCCTGAGTCTTCATTGCCGTCTCCACGGTCTCCCGTTGGGTTCGAACCCCCGCCATTTGGTCTTCCAGAGCTTCGCATCTCTGAGTTGCAGAAGTCACCATTTTTAATTTATATATATATATATATATATATATTTTAATAGGCTGAACCCGGAAGGCGGTGGTTGCCGGTGCCGGAGGTCGCAGGACCGCCTGCTCTGATACCACTTGTAACGCTCTACTTATACTTTGCTGTATTAATGGAACTTGAAAGCAATAAAGATAATATTTTTAGGGAAGAAGGCAGCTATTTCATTGAATAAAGATTGAATCTTGCAAACAAGGTGGCTTGAGGCCACGACTCTCTACTAGCACCTTTAGGGCACAATGCTCTACACTCTAAGTTTACCAATCACCAGCTACCTAGCACACTCCCACTCCCCTTTTACTTATATGTACACAATCAGCCAAAAAAGAAAGAGGACAAAAAGTTGCAGCTGTCATTCTTAGAGAGGCTCTGCCAGCAATCCTTAACTTGATTGATTTGGTGGCTCCTCTGCTGGGCCTTGCAGCTGCTGCCCTTTCTTCCTTCTGCGCTCATAGGTGATCCAATCCTTGTTGTGCTTGCTACCCACGGCATTCGTTGCAATAGTCATGTTGTATCTAGTTGGATTCGGCTCATAAAATACTTTCACAATATCAATTTTTTATAATTTTTACTCTTACACAATTATAGATATTTAGCATATACAATGTGCTTTGGGATGCGTAATTTTCTCCTTGTTGCAATATTAATAGAACGGAGGAAGTATTTTTTTGTTGAGTATTGTTGGTCAAAGACTCGTATAATCGTATATGATTAAACTTGCTAGCATTCCTTAGGGAGGTGGGTTCTTTTATGAGTTGTGGGGTAAATCAATAATGTTAGAACATATAGAGAGAAAAAAAAAAAAAAAAATCTCAAATGACTTAGGGCAAGTCCTAGGAGAATCTGAATGTTTCTCAAAATTACCTGAGAATCATATGGATGGGTAAATTACACTTTTATGCGTGCACAGCTGTGCGCTTATAAGAGCAGGTACATTGGTAGAACTAGATCTCCACTCTCTCGCTTCAAGACACTCTCAAGATCTCTCTACCCAAAAAAACCCCAGCAATGGTAAGTGTGTCTTTTTGTGAATACACCTAAGTGTAGGCCAACAAAATTCAAAGAACCATGGACTCATGTCATTTAATGAAGGGGTAGAAGCAGCTCTCCAATTTTAGATTTAGATGGTAATGGTGCAATGGATTGATCTTTTGTTTTTTGTGGTCTTTCACCACTTCGCATCCATTTGTATCTTATTAAAGTAATGCAGCAAATTAAATATGTCTTTAAAGCATGCTTTTCTCAGTTGAGGAATAGGTCAGGTGTATCCTTGCTATCTTTGTGCGCATTATTGTTGCCTTTTAAATATTCTAATTTGATTATTTTTGCTCAGATTGGTGGAGGTGAGCTTCCTGAAGAAACCACTCTTCTTTGTTCCCGGGGCACTGACAGGTTTGCAAAATTTCTTTGCTGTGCCTTTTACTGTTGGGCTTTATTGAATGGGCCTTTCTAAATGATGAATCCTTGCCAAACTTGAGCATTATAAGTACAAGCATTGCTACTAAACCTGTGGGGTTGAAGCCTTTCACCAATCTGATTGAGATGCTTTTTTTCATTTTCCCACTCATTGGTGCCAGCCAGACAATTGAGACAAACCTTCATGCTAGAGAGATTAAGTGATCGGAAATTTTTATTTTTAGGCTTGATTGGTTGGGCATTTGGGTTTATGGGTAGTGACCCTGTATTCTTTTTGGATGCAAATGACAGTATCGTCTGTGCATTGTTTCTTTTTTTGTTAAACAGTGCTCTGGAGCTCCTTTCCACCTGCAAAATTACAAACTTGACAGTGAAGGCTGAGCTCGGCTGCTGCTTGCTTCATAGGAGTGGGAGGTTGATTATAGACAGTTGTCTCCTCCAATGTGAAACCGATCCTTTGGATTATCTATCATGCCCCATAGTGAGCACAACCACGGGGCCAAAGAAGCTACCATCTCTTTCTTCAAACTCCCGCGGAGATGGTGTTACTGTTTCTCGTACTAGGATTGAAGGTGGTGCCAAGGCTGTTTTGACCAGTGGCACCCTTGTGTTGCAGAGTGTACGAGTCATTTATGGTCGTACTTCTGTCCTTTTCTGGTTTGAAGTTGAGCATCAGTCATGATTCACTTCTTCCTCCGTCACTTGTTGTAAGTCTTTGGTAAAATTTCATCTTTTTTTTTTCTTTTTTCATTTGTTAAGTTTTCTTTTCCTTGTATCCTGTATGTATATCAGCTTTATAGTTCATTAATAATTTTCAAGGCAACTGTGTTGTATTTAAAATGGGCATTAGTTGAGTGGTTACAATGTAACTTATGCTAATCAACCACAATTGCCAATATTCCAAAGTGTATGGACTGAATTTAGACTTGTTGGAAATCTAAATCCATCCAATGTATACGCTAGTACGTAGACCTTTGTTTCTCACAATTTGTGGGAATATAATACTTTTAGGTACATTTGTTGGTCGAAGGCCCTGTTCTTTTCGACTTATTATTCTGTACTTCAGCTCAATTCAGTTGGTTTCCTCACTTGTTTGTAGTCCATTCAATTAGAATGCATTCAGTCCAAAAGAACGGGCCTAGTAATTGTCCATTTTTCTATACTTTCTTATTTTTTAAATCTTTTTTGAACTTTTGAAACATAATGAACCAAATTAACTTTTTTTTTTTTTTTGGCTATCCAATTCTATGGGCAAGGATTTTGATCACTGCCGTCAAAACAATTGTTCCACTATGGTATGAGAAAGTTCAATGGATTCTTCCATTAATTGCAAGTTGGGTTTGAAAAACAGGGTTTCCAATGATTTGTTGTGTAGTTCTGCTTATGTGAGAATGAGTTTGAAGAAGATTTCATCAAATGGGTTCCAATGATAGGTTGCCGAAAAGTGTACACAAACATTGTATATCCATGTACAATGTTCTCTTGCGTTGATTTGAAGAAGACTTGGTTGACTTAAGGTATAAAAAGTTAGATGAACTAGCAACCAGGGATACCAAGCAGTCATTATTTCATTTATTTGCTAATTTCGCAATGTACACGTTTATGTTTGGAGCGGGTATGGCAATGACTTTGTTGGACAGTGGCCACAGTGGGTATGTGGATTTCCGTTAATTATCTAGTATTCACAACTGTTTTATACGAAATTGCTTACCACTTGATCCAATGGTCAAAACTGTCTTAAACGACATTAAGTTGCTTACCACTTGAACCAACTCTAGTTGGTTGCTTCAAATAAATTTGTTGACTAATTTTGATAAAGAGCTGCAAAGGTGAGTCACCCATGTAATTGGCATACAACTATACGGTTACCCAATTAGGCAATTACTCACCCTCTCATTCTTTTCTTCCAAAATGATCTACAATAACACATTTTATTGGGCATTTTTCATGCGCGTGTAAATAAAATAGTCTTACATTTACTTTGGTAGATTGGTTGGAAGGCGACTAATATATAAGTTTTGTTAGTTATTTAGAACTAAGATTTGGGATAAGGGGGCTACTTTGTTTAGTTGATTGAGGGGTTGGTGGCTAATTGATTATTGGAAAAGAAAAAAGTTAAAAACAACTTAATTTCTTTGAATGAAAGATGTTTATTTTAACTAGCTTTGATTGGAATACAGTTTAAATCTTTAGTTTTCCTACTTGTGTGCAAAACATAGCAATAATTTTATTATTCCACGCTTGTCAATACATTTGTTCAGTATTAATATTTTTGATTATCAATACCTAAAACTTATAAATCTGATATTTTAAAAGTATATAAATTGAGACAAAATCTAACAAAATTTCACTTGACCATATTTTTCATTAATTATAACTCGTCAAAGTATAGTAGTTGGTGGCGTTTAAGTCAAAAATATTACAACTATAAAGAATAGGGAAGGAGTTTGTATACCTCTATTTCGTTATGTGTCTGTTAAATAATCTATGTTGAAGGGCTTTCTCACTTGAAAGAGCATAAGTTTTTTTCTTTAATTGTTCAAAATGGAGCTTTATACAGGGCTAGTTATTTGCGAATAAATGTCTATCAATCATTCATCTACGAATTGTAAAATCACACAAGAAACTTCTTCTCATTCTTATGACGGAGCAACATATACACTCATGAAAAGTTTGAAATTAATAAAAAAAAAAAAAAAAGGCACCGAATTATTAGATGTACATTTTTAGACTTTGCATTGCTAAGGTGAAAATTCTTAAAAGCGCGAAGATAATGTGGAAAGAATATGAAACCATATAGTAATAAGTTATTCTTATATAACGAAGTTTCATCTATAATCATTCAATTCTTAAATTGAAGTTGAAGTATTTAAACTTTTATAGATTCCATATATACTCTTGAAGAAATCCTTGAAAAAAAAATATCAAAGTTCATTGCATTCTTGATTTGCAATCTAACTAAGGAAAGATCAATCAGTTGTACGAGTACTCCGTATATCTTCACTAAGTAACGAAAATTTCTCAATCAACTAATCATATGAGCCTAAGTGACAAAAATATATCAATCAATCACAAGAGTCTTACAATCAATCAAAATTTTAATGAGATAATCTTTCGCTATAACATAAATTCATTATAAGTCATCAAACTATCTTATTAAATTTTCTCACAAACATCGATTACAAAGTTGTATATTTTCGTGTACAAATGAGCCACAAGGGCAGCATAAATTACAATCACAAAAAGAAAATTCAAACTTATATTAAGGGTATGTTCTCTTCAATTTATTTTCAATTCAGTTTCTAATTTTCTTCTCTCATAAAAATATAAAATATTCAGTTCAGCAAATGAGAACAGACACTAAATTATATACTTCGTACAAATCTTAGATCTTTGTCATTATGTCGAGACCTCATCGGATTAATCATCCGTAACTCGTCATAAATTCATAATTTACATCATGATGAGGGTAGGTGTTAGATGAACAAACAATTTGGATGATCCTTCCTCAGTCCCTCTCTATTTGAACCAAAGGAAAGACCCCACAAGTATTGACTAGTTCTTTTTGTATTTACTCAATAAAAAGTCTGTCAACCCCAAAAACCCATCAACTTGACACATTTACACAAACATACGCTCTCTTCTCTTTTTCCAAATTTTTCTTACTCTCTTTATTTTCAAATATCTTGCCCTCCTAACTAAATTGCAGGCCTGCTAAATTATTTTTTTTAATTGTTGGTAATAATAATACAAACAAAAATATTGTAATAAATATTTATATTTATTACTCTTACTCTTTATTTATTTATTAGTCGTCTCCCATATTATTCCCATTTTCAGACGGCCAAAAAAAAACAAATTTAATAATTAGTTCTTCTGAAACTACAAATTCCCCACTTTTTTTTTATAATTCAAATCAATTTTTGTTCATGTTTGAGTTGAGGGCCTCCAATTTCCACCGTCCTCCATCTTTTTAGGGTTTTATTCTTCTTTGTTCTTTCATGGGGTTTTGAATTTTAAATTTTGAATTCCTCATTTCAAGGTAAATTTTGTTTCTTTATTTTTTATTTATTCGTTTGTTTTAATTTATTTATTTCTTCTTGTTTGATTGTTTGTTTGTGGGTTTTATTGTGATGATGATTTTGGGTTTGACGATCAAATTTCTAATTTTTAATTGTTGGGTTTTTCTGAGTAGTAATACAACTGATCAATTTTTATTTTTTTGATATTAAAATCTTGGGTTCAAGTTTTTGTTTGTGATATTTCTTTTTAAATGTGATATGCCATTTTATAAGAGGTTTTTGTTTATCAAATTATCTGTGGTCCGTAATTTATTTATTATTTTAAAGTTAGAATGTTTAATGTTTTGCATTTTATGGCGTAGATTTTTTTGTAAAGTTTGTATTTTTTTTTCTTTCCTGTATTTATGAATTTTCAAACTTCATATATTTTGAAAATATAACATTTACGGAGTACTAAAAATAATTAAGAATTAACCTTATATCTTATTTGTAATTGTGAGCAAATAGTTTGTTTGAATTTCTGTTTATTGTAGATAAAAATAAAAATAAAAAAATAAAAAACTTATGCAAATAAGATGATTTCTATTTTAGTAGTTTTTACTTCCTAGCATAGTCTAAATTATAGCTGGATGATGGTTTGATTTACTTGAATAATTAGGCGTTTTGAAGTATGCGCTTTTATTTGCATAAGAATCTATATATGCTTGTCTTTATTTAGGATTTTGTTGTTGTGATGCATATTTTGAAAAAGCTTGATATTTAGGTCCTTCATTTTTTTTACTGATGTTTGCACTTGATGAAACAAAAAATAATCATGGGTTTTACTGTTACCTTAATTGTTGAACATTTTTGTGCTTTGTCTATTTGTAGACAAGGGATTAAAATCAGTCAACACATTTGAAGAGAGGAAAGCTGGTAACGGGTTTCGAACTGAGTGGAAATTTGTTGGTATGTAATCCTCATCCTTGTTTGCATTAACATGTTAAATCGCGTTTTTATGATTTCGGATAGAACTTAATTAGATGAAGGCCTTGAATAGTTGTATGGCTATTGTATAGGTTATATGTCAATGTGTTTGTACCTTGGCTTTAGATGTCAATAATAGGGTGTTTTTCTCCATCAAAAAAGTTTCTTCACTTGATTTAAGAACTTTTTAGCCCTGTACTTAATTTATGAGAGCTTATCACATTTGTGAATTGAGTTTCGGTACACTTATCTTTGCGAAATATAAGCCCCAAACTTAGCTTATTAGAACTTATATTTCCTGATATATTTTACTGAAAAGGAGTTGATGATTTGCAAAGAGTATTTACACACTATTTTACTGAAAAGGAATTGATGATATCATGATAACATTCTGTTTTGCTTTCAGATAGCTATTTGGCCTACAATATGGCTACTGGAAGTCCATATCTTGATGATGTGAGGGGGAAGCCTGAAGTTATCGACCCTCCCTCGACTGAGGATATGATTGATGTTGTAGAAAATGTGATGGATACTGCACAAACTACTGTTAAACCAAATCCAATTGTGTCTAGCAGTGTTTATGAGCTGCTGGAGTGCCCAGTGTGCCTAACTGCCATGTACCCTCCAATCCACCAGGTGAGGCTGCCTCTAGTGCTTCTTATGTGATGCTAAAGTACCAGAATATCCCAAGTTGGTTGAAAATTTTAAACTCATGCACTTGGATTTTCCATGTATTGCTCTCCCTGCTGCCTCTGTCTTAATTAAATATGATTCAGAAATTGTTTGATTGGGTTGGGGGCGAGGGGATAGGCGATGAAATCATTGACTGAGAGATAACTGCGAAATATATCTCATGATCGATATGCTCGTGTTGAAAGCTGATCTGGAGAAAAGATATATGTTGAGTATTAGTGTATTGCTGTATTAAGGATTTGTAAACAAGTTTTTCACTCATCTTCTAAAAAAAATTTGAAAACAAAGGTAGCACCTTCTTCTTTTATGCTGTCAGAAATTCCATTATTTGCTGTAGTGGCTATTCAAAGCCTACAGAGAAAATGAACAGCTTAGAAATTAAATAGTCTTAAGCAGATACTTGAAAC